ATATATGCTATTTAAATATATAATTTGAAATTACTTGCTTGCTTATGTGCATTAAATTAATTTATAGTGAACTTATTATTATGGCTTTTATACAAATTTGTGCGGAGTTTTGCATTCTGGAATTTGAAAAACACTCGAAAATGGTCGGCTTATTTAAATAAATAAAAAAAAAAAAATTGTTAAGTAAATTTTTGTAGTAAGTTTATAAGCTATAAGCAGGATAGTTGCAAAAATAACAGTAGTCAGGGTTATTTTCTGTGCTCCTCCTGTTGCCTAAGACTATATTCTGTGTAGCACCCAAATAACGCATTTCTCTCGCTTATTTGGCATACACAAAACGTACAAGTCATAACCTTAATATATTTACACCAGGTTTTTTTTTATTAGTACGGAATACATTTGCATTCGCAAATATATATGTGTATATATATATATGCAATTTAGTTATGATTTATATGATATATTAATATATATGTATAGCTTACACTGCATGCGCTTGTGAAGTACAGAAACTTTCTTGCATATTTTATTGGATAGCTAAATAAGAAACAGATGTGACCAACTGTATTTAAAATATTCAATATCCAGTTGAGTTGTTGTTGGCTGCCAGGGCTGGGTTATGTAGCGTATGCTATCGATTTGTTGTTGATTTGAATGAAGTTTTGGGAAATCGGAACCAAAGTCGGAGTCGGAGCAACTCAAACCGAGACTGAGACTGTGTGTGAATGAATCATTGACTATTTCATTTACTAGTTCCCTCGACTGACAACTGGCTCAACTTGGCCCCCACCAACGGCTTTTACTTTAGATCACATTTGAACAGCAAGCTTTCGGGTCCACCTCCTGGGCCTAGGCCTGCTCCTGTAGCTGGGCGCGCGACTGTCGCACGGGCCGGTCGGACCACAGCGTGGCCTGGCCCCCGTTCTGCGCCTGGTAGGAGAGCGGCGGCGGGCCTAGCTGTGCCTGGGGCACCAGCTCCGCCTGCGGATTGAACTGATTGTTGGTGTTGTAGTTGACCAAGATGTCGCTGGCCAGGCTGTGGCCAATGTTGACGTTTCGGTCCGGATAGTACTGCTGTTGCTGCTGTGGCTGGACTTGAATCTGTTGCTGCTGCTGGTGCTGGTGTTTGTTGCTCTGGCGCCAGTGCTTGTGCTGCGGCACGGGCAGCAGGCGGTAGAGGGGCTCCAGTCCGGGGCCGCTCGGGTAACTGGGCACAAAGTACGGCGGATAGGGATGCTTTGCGTTGCCGTGGCGCAAACGCTTGAACTGTGGTGGTGGCGGCGGCGGGGGCGGAGGCGCGGGACGCTGCCAGTACTGCAGTGGAGCCGGCGAGGGCGGACGCAGCTGGTACTTGGCCGGACGCGGCTGCAACTGATTGTCCAAGTAGGATGGCGGCAGGGGCGTGCTGTACACGCCCTGCTGGCTATCGTAGGGCAAGGGCAAGGGCGACGGCGATGGCGACTGCAGCTGCAGCTGTAGCTGCTGCTTGCCGACTCTCAGTTGGCGCTGGCGCTGCAGCAGGAGCGAGTCTGGCAGGTAGGAGGAGTCCTGTTCCTGGCCCGGCTGTATGGTCGGCTCCAGCTGCAGCTGCAGCTGCTGGTGCTTGCCCACGCGCAGCTGACGCTGGCGTTGTGGCTGCGGCTGGTAGACGATGGCCTTGAAGGCGTTTTGGTCCTGCTCGTCGGCGCTGTAGTTGACCATGGGCAGGAAGGGCTGCCTGTCGAAGTCGGGCGGCTGGAAGCGGGACGTCGCTGGTGCGGAAATGAGGTTGCTTCTGAGCAGCTGACCCAGCGCCGCGTCGTACTCCGAGTGCACTTGGACGCGTGGCTTGGGCGTTATGCTAACCACGGCCACGTCGTTCACGGGACTCGGCGGAGATTTGTAGTGCGGTCGCTTGGGTGGCTTTGTGGCCAGGAAGTCATTGATCACATTCGACTTGAGGGAGGATGGCTGGCGCTTGGCCTCGAAGTACTCATAGTATATGGGATTCGATTTAGACAACGGCGCCTGCTCGCGATCCCGTTCCCGTTCCCTATCCCGTTCCCGTTCCCTGCCCCGTTCCTCTTTCACCCTCTCGTTGGACCGCTCTGTGCTGGGCACAAACACCAGCTGGGCGGGCGGCTGTGGGCGTGGCGTTGTCGGCTGATAGTTGATGGGGTAAATGGGTATCGGCACCGCCACCGGCACCGGCACGCGCTCGACGTACTTGTTCGGCGGCTGCTGCTGCTGCTGTTGAGGCTGTTGCGGCTGTTGCTGCTGTTGCTGGTGTCGTGGTGCGGGCGGCAGGTATCCGATGGCATTGTACTTGACCGACAGGCGTGACGGAGCTCGCGTGGTGGTTGTGCTAGTGGTGCTGCTGCTGGTGGTGGTGCTGGTAGTGCTAGGCGTAGTGCTAGTTGTGCTGCTATACGGACGTCGCGTTGTAGTCGACGTGGTCGTCGCCTCCAAGAGGGTAAAGTGATCTGGCGGCGGGGGTAGCACAATGCCGGGCACCAACGGTCCCGGCGGCACCGGATTCGTGTAGTTGCTGCGGTAGACAAAGCTGTAGGCAGGCGGATAGTAGAGCGAGGGATCATCCTCGTCAAAGTCGCTGATGTTGGCGTGCAGCGCGCCTGGAGCAGAGACGCTGCCATTCGCGTGGAGTCCATTGATGAGCCAGGGCCCGAGCAGCGGACTCCTTAGCACCGCGTTGGGAGTCGGACTGGGATGTGGATGGGACGGCGGTTGCTCGGCCGGCGTCTCGTTGTTATAGAGCAGCCAGGGCGCGTAGGGCGTCGGGTAGACGTAGCTGGGCTCCGGGTCAGCTGTCTTAGGCGACGCATACGTTCCCGGCCGGGCAGCAGGATGCGACCCCTGGCCGTGGGCAGCTCCATGGCCCTGGCCGTAGGCCGCGTGCTGGCCCACAGCGGATAACGTTGCATTGACAGCTGGCGTATGGAGGCTCTCGATTTGATTATCTCGGATAATTTGCAGTGGCCCATGCGGCTCGAGCTGCACGGGAAATGGAGGCGGCACCACCGGATTCGCCGGCAGCTTGATTTGGCGCGGCGGCGCATCGTAATCATCAATGGCTGGCCACGGCTCGCTGTCGCCGCCATTGAGCTCGGCCTCATTCAGGCCGCCGCCCTTGATCACCAGCAAATGATCCTCGGCCAGCCAAATGTCCTGCTCATTGAGTCCGCCAAAGTTGCGCTCGTTGTCCTGTGGCACCTCCGGATTGCGTGCGTAGCTCAGCACGCCCGGACGCTTGGGCACGCGACGAAAGAGCTCCTTCTCAATCAAGCCGTACTTCCCATCGCGCACCTGATCCGCCAGAGTCTTCTTCGCGTCCTCCTTACCCGGTTTGCCTTGACCCTTGCCACTGGCCGACTCCGCCTCCTTGCCGGAGCCGGCGCTCAAGCGCAGTATGCCATTGTCCCAGTTATCGAAGTCATCCGGCTCACTGAGCAGCGCCTCGTCGTCATCCTGCTCCCGCTCTGGCGGCGTCGACGGCGATGGCGATGGCTTAGCCAGGCGATAAGTGCTGCTGGCCTTGCGTCGTTTCGTTGCGGCTGTTGTTGTGGATTTTCTCGTGGCTGGGCTGGGGGTTGTTGTTGTTGTCGTCGTCGTTGTTGTTGTTGTGGTAGCTGTTGCCGCTGTTGGCGCTGTGGTTGCTATTGCAATGCTCCTGCTGCTGTTGGCGCTCACCGCAGACACCTCATAGGTGGAATGGCCCTGCGCATTGTGAATGTGACCAGCCACCAAGCGCTGGATCATGCGCGGCCTGCGAACGAAGATAAGACACGCAGTTAGACATGGAACCAGCTCGAAGATCGGTGCAATTAATCAATGGCGGCGCCCGAAATGGGCAGACGCCTAAAACCAGCGACAGGCCAAGTCTCAGCCAGACATGAACGCGCGACAGACAAGAGCTGGCAATTCGCAGACTTTTGCCCCAGTTAACTAGTTTAATAGACGTCAGCTAGACTATATGGTAGCTATAGATCGCTCATGGCTAGCCTATATGCGTCTATTCATTTCAATTCAAATAGTCCAAGAGTGTTGGGGTAAAAAAGAACTGAATTCCGGGACTAGACCTCTTGAGATGCGTTACTTCGGGAGGAAAGAAGAATTTTGACATCAATGTATACTTAAGAAGAGTCTAAAGCTGAAGTGTGAACAGACAACTGAAATCAGGTATTTTATTGGATGTGAGGATCGAACAAGTCTCGATTTATTTTGAATAAACTGACTGGAGGCGAACAGACTAAGTCTAAGTTGGTATGGCTATAAATATATTTGAACTTCCGCTTGGGTAGCTAAACTACTTTTAGCAAATTGGGTATTAAGGTATAGCTCTGCGAAGGACATTTTACAATGCCTTGCAAAATCGGCGATTGAGTGTTAAGAGGTAGATATATATAAAATTCAACAGATTTACATTCGTTTCTCTTACATATTAAAAATTATATATGAGTCTGCAATTGGGCTAAGAAGACCCTATCTAGCATAAGAGGTATTTCAAAAAGTTTTAAAAATATGAAAAATCATATATAGTATAATTCGAATCAATACACTCATAAAATGGTATTTATACCCAAGCAGCAGCTAATGATGCTCTGTAAGTCCTTCAGTTTGCTTTAGCCCCTAGGGTCCATCTATTTATACAGGTCCATCTATTTATATATGTGTACATACATATATCGATACATACATATACATATATTACAGTTCGTGCTTCTTGATTAGACAAGCTAATATACCCCCCATTACAACAGCTACAGGGTATTCATGCTCGATCTAAATATGTTTCCCGTTTAAAAGAGGTTTCTCAACTCGAATTTTTTTACTTCACATATTTTGCCTTATTAGCATATCCCAATCGTGTCACGAGTGGTTGGAGCAGCTCGTGCTCGTGTCACGCGCTCATCTGCATATTCAAGCTCAAGTCTAGGAAAAGAAAAGAAAAGATCAGGCAAAAGTGGAACTCACGTTTTGTTGGGATTGGGGCCGCTGCGCGAGACAGCGCCTGGCCTGGAGGACAGCGACGAGAGCGACTGATGCGACTGAGGCCAGCCGCTGGCGCTGCTCGTGCTGAATGACTCCGATGCGCTGGGCGTGGGCGTGTCACGTGGCTGGCGGGCGGCTCTGAAGCTGCTGCGGCTGCGACCACGCCCATTGCTGTCAGCTGAGGCTGGGGCCATCGTCGTCGTCGTTGTTGTTGTTGTTGCCGTTGTTGTGGCACGACGTCGCTGCTGCCGCACCGTTGCTGGCGGCAGAGGCGTGGTGCTGGCGGCGCTGCCACCGCGACGCCCATGGCCATTGTCGATGGGCAGCGTCGTGGGCGGCCGCCGTTGGCGCGGCGCTCGCAGCGTTGGCGCCTGCGTGCTGGTCGTCGAGGAGGCGCTCGCATAGTTGGTCGCGCCTCTGCCGCGCGGCACAACGGTACGCGTTGCCGCATCGCCCTCTGCTGCCACGGCGACTGCAGCTGCTGCGGCTGCTGCGGCTGCTGCCACGGCCAGCAGAGCTATCACTATCAAGTGCAAGGTTAAAGATGTCATCTGTGAAGAGAAGCGGAACGAACAGCAAAAAAAAAAAAATGCATGAGTATTGGTGGTTACATGAGCTAACGGTAAGTCGCAGCTGCGCAGGCGCCGTCACGTTTTGGCGTTACGTTTTCGATTCGGTTCGTTTTCAATTATGCAATTGCGTTGACGAAAACGATGCCGTGGTAGTCGACAGCAAAATACCCTATAGTTTCGGCTAAGCGCGTTATAGGCTAGGTATGGAACGGGGCTATGGGAGAGAATATTTGGAATGTCACGAATTCATTTGTGGTGTAAAAGTGCTAGATCAAAAAAATAAAAAAAATAAATTTAAAAAAAAAAAAAAAA